ATGCTGTTGATGATACTGGTAATGATAATGATGATGACAGTGATTATGATGATTCCATTTTTTTGCTATAATGATAAATAGCAATTCTGAAGACAACAACAATATTAACAACAGAAAAAAACATGAGATATAATTAAAAAAATACGATATTTGTAGCCTGAATGAAACTGAAATTGCATCAATGGCTGGTACAAAACTTTTAATGCATAAGATTAAAATAAAATACAGAAATTATCCCTTTTAGCAATGGCATATGTTTTTATTTACTTTCTTGTTGGTAAATTAAGAATGAAACTTAGAGAGTTTCTTTTCTCACACTTCTTACTTATGGAACTCTCTTCTTTCCAGACAAGTTTGAATTTCAAAAATTTAAATTCAATGTCAGTCATTATCTACTGTCTTCCTGATTACTCTTCTATTGTTCTCACTCTTCAAAAATACTTCTGTTTTCTAATTCTTTTACACTGAGTAGCCTCTTCTCTCTCAGTGGCATTAATGCCTTGATTGGAGCGAATTTGATTAAAAAAATTACTCTCATAATCATAATATGCCTATGTTATTCTAAATGCTGATGCTTGCTGTGTAGCATATTTTCTTTTACTTATCTCCATTGACTTTCTATTGATAACCTTCCTTGTTTGTCTCTCTCCTGTTATGTAAAATGTAGTCTTGTTTGTTCATTAAAGCCTTCTAAAGGTCTCACATCTTCCTGTCAACAATTCAATGCCAACAAGAAAATATGAAATATTAAGTATTAAATGTTTACAAATATTCCCAGAACTCTTTTGAGCAATAGAGTTGAAAGCTAGTTTCTTGTTGAAATTTTTTTTTACGTCTAACCATGTTAGTTTTAATTATTCAATGTGCAAGATAGAAAAAGAAGAAAATAAAATACTTTCTAAAAGACCATTTGGCAAATATCTGTGCACAACTGTTGCCACTAGTTTCAAAGTACAATCTTACTTATAAACTGAAGTTTCCATACAGAATTTGGATATGAATTGGGGTTGGTGGGGGGAAGTGCCACAGAGACTTAGTATTATTTATCAGAAGCTTTGGACATAAAACAAACTCAATCAAGGGTTTAAACAAATAATATATATTTTTTATTTGACTTTGATTGGAGTGAGTCCTTCATAATTCAGGGTAGTAAAAGTCTGTTCTGCTCAGTAATTAATAGTTGATAAGTTGGACCTTAGTGGTAGTCACCAGCATGTTGGCTATGGTCAAGAGTGTGCTTTGGAAATAGGTGCAACATCAGTTTGCTGTATTTTCTTGGCCTCAGAAATATGTCTTAAGCAGATGACAGCTTCACATGACATGATTGGCTGATTTCTCTGGCAGTCTCTTCTCTTCTTCTCTGCCCATCAACCATCTGTTTATATCCACTTAAGCAAGGGATCCACATGACTGGTGTAAAGCTTAGTTTTGGCTAGCATCAAAAGTCTGTGTTCATTTTTTTTGACTGGACAAAAATTCTTTTATTTTCTGGCATTCCTTATATTTTCATAGCAGAAATTATGAATGGAGCGTCTCTTATTTTGTTAGATTTCTAGTGACAAAAAGCTAGGCTCTGGTTCAGCAAACTTCTGCCATTTTACATCCAGGTTCAGACTTTTCTTTTTCTTGCTCTTTCTATTTGAGGGTTGCCTTCTCATTAGTTGGAAGAGAAGTATATAGAAAGAAATATAGATAGAGTAGTTTAGAGTGAGAGAGAGAGAGAGAAAAATAGATATGGACTTTAAAGGCAAACAAATGCCTTATTTCAATTTGAATTCTTTTTTTGTTTATCTATTTATTTTCTTATTTTATTTTTTATTGGGACTCACTACATGAATTTGCCTCAGATTAATCTTACTCTAATTTCACATTCTGCTTGGCCTTCAGTGAGATTGTAGTGATAGAAAAATAAAAGAGACCAAAATTTCACTATCTCTAAAAACAGATGTATATTCAGAATCATCAGGCCACAAAGCCATAGTTCAACCAACCAATCAGAAAGCTTTCACAACCACTATATAAACCCATGAGCCAATCTAAAAATCTATATAACAAGATGGAAAATCAACCAAAACCAGAATTGATAAATAAATTTTGTACATTCTCTGATGCTGCAGTCATCGTAACAAAACAAAGCTGAAATCCTGTGAACCTGTTGTCTAACATTATAAAAATTTTATTTCAGATTAGACACACTTTTGAGATGAAATTCAAAGCAGACAAGAATAAGTATGTTTGGCATCTTCTCTTTGCTTTTAATCAAAGTCACAAAAGAAAGTTGCACAAGAGATTTATGCTTTATATGGAGATGACTTTATTACCAACAGAATGGGGGTAAGTTCAAACTCAGAGTCTCTCTGCATTCACTTTGATGAGAACCAGTTGCATATGCTGATTAAAGAAGAATCACACTAGAGCACTAGGGAATTAGCTCAGAAGATGACAATCTCTCATTGAAACATTGAACGGTTAGTGTATTGTTGGCAGAAGGTCGGAAAAAATAGACAGGGAATACATTGTTGAATATTTCATCAGAAGTATTAATAAATTATAAAAAATGAACAACATCATGTAACAAATTTATAAATTAAGCTACATGAACTACACAAGTGACTAGAATCCACAGTATGTACATGCTCCATGAACAAGAGCTTTATGCCAAAGTTCATCATATATATATATATATATATATATATATATATACCTCATAACACCCTCGAGCACTTAGCCTTGGCACGGATAGAATGGAGATCAACATGTTTTAGCAGACTCAGCAGTTTTCAATCTGCTTGTCTGAATCGTCTTCAAGAAATGAAAGCAAGATTTAAAAAGTCAGCCAATCTAACAGTGATCTTATCCCACAATCCTCACTCTTGCTCCATATGCAGCCTCCTTTGTAAATCACTTGCGGGTCTTAAGTGCCACTTAAGATTATCGCACAAAATTTCATAACTGAATCAATTGGTTAAGTTGTCAGATCCTCATATGTCGAAACCAACGGGAGAGTCCATCATATATATATATATATATATATATATATACATGAATTATTCATACAAAACTAATGCAAAGGTTAATGATTTAAATGGCGAGACATCCATCTTGCAAACGATTCAAATAGTACACAAAAACCTCTAAATCCGTTATGCATGAGTTGATCCTTGTTTATATAAATTTCTGCCGTATTAGTTAGTATCTATTATATACCTGACGATGTCTGTAGGAACAGACGAAAGCTTGTAGTAAAAGTAACAACTAATACGGCAGAAATTTATATAAACAAGGATCAACTCATGCATAACGGATTTAGAGGTTTTTGTGTACTATTTGAATTGTTTGCAAGATGGATGTCTCGCCATTTAAATCATTAACCTTTGCATTAGTTTTGTATGAATAATTCATGTATTTGTAAATTGATTGCACGTTTATTGTAATATATATATATATATATAATTTCCTAGTCATGAACACCAAGATGTTCATGAAATAAAAATTATAAGCAAAATGAATAATTAAAGTCTTCATCTTCTTATCATTATAATGCTCTGTAGTCTACATTGAGCTCTCCCTGGATTTAGAATTATTCCTTCTAGTCACAAACTGGTAAAATGTATAATTATATATATATATATATATATATATATATATATTCAGATTACTAACACAAAAACAGAGAATGTCTCATATCGAGAATATTTAACATTGAAAAATATAAGGAAAAAATTAATTATTTCTAATAATATGTGAGAATCTCTGATTTTACCTGAAGACTGTCGTGAGACCAGAAACGCGTGTAGTAAAATTATGGAAAATAAAGCATAAAATTTTTTTCTAAAAAAATCCACATTACAACCAAAAACGTTTGCGGCACCTCTCTTCTCTTCGTTTTAATATACATACTTTTCTCTTGTTGGAACCCACAACCTCTTTCTTTTTTATTTATATATATATATATATATATATATATATATATATATATATATATATATATATATATATACTTGAAGAAAACTAAAATACATGAAATTCGTACAGTTTATTCATAAGTACCATCCCAGTGCAAGGGTCTCATGGCCCTGCCCCAGAATCGATTATACAGAGGGCCCCACCCTCACTCTACTACATCTCAGTTTTCATAAGATAGTATTCATATAAAATATAATTTTTATTGTAACCTAATTATATACAATAATGAATCATATGCAATACAGGTGGACAATTCAACTTGAAAAATTGAAAATAAATACAATGTATCTAAATACAAATTAAAGACATGCTATAATAAATCATTCCATCTTAAATAAATCAAAAATATTTTGAAGCAATTTTTAACATTCTTCCGGTTTTTCTTTATAGATTTTCCTAATCATTTTTTGTCAAAAGAATAAAATTCAAATTTATGAAACTTTTGATTAATTCAGAAATTAAGTTTGGATTCTTTTTGCATTATTGTAAAATTTATACTGTCATCTTTATCTCTCAATAATTATTTATACTCTCATCTTTATCCCTCAGTAATTATTTATACTGTCATCTTTGTTCCTCAATAATTATTTATACTGTCATCTTTATCCCTCAATAATTATTTATACTGTCATCTTTATCCCTCAATAATTATTTATACTGTCATCTTTATCCCTCAATAATTCTAAACCATTATTTACAAAATCTCCCAATATAACATGATAGTTTTTCCAACTCAATTTCTTATTCACTTCATTTAGAATCTTTATATCATAATATTAACTTTCACTCTTTATTTTCTTGCCATAACCATCAGTAAAATTATTTTTTGAGCAATAATTTCATTATATTTAGGAAACAAACTCAATTAGTATTTTAATGCCTTTTCCAATAGAGTTTTGAGTTAATTTATTATTAGGGGAATGGTTTTGTAAATCAGATCAGGAAAAAACATTAAAAAGAAATAAAGTATGAATATGACAGCAAAAACAAGCAAAATTCACTTTAAATATTTTTCTTTTCTCAGAAATGATTTCATGAGTGTTTTTCAGAGTCAAATAGATAATCAATGGATCGATCATTTTATCTATCTTCAAGTCTACATCATGATTAAGTGTATGTTTATAACTGTTCATTAATCTTTAAAACATTCAATCTATTGATAAAGCTATGTTTAAATATATCTGTCAATCTATTTCAGTCTTTATTTTATCTATCTCAGTCAGTTCTCTATCTATCTCAGCTTCTTATCTATCTATCTATCCCAGTCTATTCATTATGTCTCAATCTGTTATCTATCTATCTATCTATCTATCTATCTATCTATCTATCTATCTATCTATCTCAGTCTATTCATTATGTCCCAGTCTGTTATCTATCTATCTATCTCAGTTTATATTTCAGTTATCTATCTATCTATCTATGTTCTCTATTTCAGTCTATTGTTCATTATTTATCTATCTATCTATCTATCTATTTATCCATCCATCCATGTCCCAGTCTCTGTTATCTATCTATCTATATTTCAGCCTGTTCTCTATTTCAGTTTGTTCATTATTTATCTATCTATTTGTTCATTATCTGTCTCAGTCTGTTTATCTATCTAAGTTTGTTCATTATCTGTCTCATCTGTTATCTATCTATCTATCTATCTATCTATCTATCTATCTATCTATCTATTCATCCCAGTCTGTTCATATCTATCTATCTATCTATTTATCTATCTATCTATCTATCTATCTATCTATCTGTCTGGCTGGCTGGCTGTTGAGCCCCATTCAACTAGATGGTCATTCTAAACTTTTCATGTTGGAAATAATAATATTATGAGCCAGTATTTCAACCAGAGCTTACCAAATTTCTTTCTCTTGTTCTTTTTATTTACTAACATGCAGTAAGTAAAATCTCAGCTCTTTTGTGAGGAGCAGCAGCATGGAGTTCCTCAACCAGAGGTAAAATGTTTTGAATTCTATCTTTTCATTTGCATTTCTCTCACTGGAAGATAATCTTTACATTAACTTTGATGAAAGAACTTTCTACAATGGACATACATGACACATTCTATTCATTCTACAATTTATTTTGAATTTCTTTGAATCACAGATTCTTTAACATCTCTACAGTATTTTTTCCTTATTGACTTCTTGATTGCTGTTATTAAATCATTCTGTTGTTGATTCTAAAAAGTTTTTTGAATTATTTCTTCATTTGCCTGCTGTAGATAACTGAGGCTTATGGCTATATAACATTGAAATACTGGTTTTCATACAATCACTGAAGTTAAGCAACTTTAAGCCTGGTCGATACCTAGATGGGTGACTGTTTGGGAATACCAGGTACTGTAAGCTTGGATGTGTAGGTGGTGTAATGAATAATGGCTAGGAATTGTTAATTAGAGAGTTGAGTTGTTCCAGTACCTGTTGAGATTGTTATATTCATTTACGTGCAAATACACTTGGGAAAGGTACAAATTCACTTCTCCCCCCCCCCAGCTATGGCTTAATAAGTCTTGTATCAGTAAACTATTATTATCTCAAAAAAACATTCTTACAATCTAAAAATATCTTAGAAAAATAAAAATATTTTAAATAACCTGCAGAGGGTTGATAAGTCATAGAAAATGAATGAATCAATCAGGCAATGTAGATAATTGAGCTATTACTGTGTTATCATAGGAGTTTTTATAAAATCTGATATTACTGCATTTTTAATTACTTATTTTTATGTTTATATTATGTTATGGCAAATAACCATCTGTTCTACTCTGAGAGGATGGAATCATGATGCTGCATCAAAGACTGTGAAATGTAGTGGAACGAAATGGCATATATGTGGTTGAATAAAGCTTTATACAAATATCTGAATATTGTCATTGAAATTCATTTAAGAAAATTATACAAACTATTGTTCCAACTTAATATATATTAAAAAATAATTCAGTGAAAAATTTAGTTGATAATGATAACTCTTTCTTTATTCAATTACTAAATTTTTCATTGAATTACAAGGAAAGCAGGACCTAATGGATAAAAGTTTTGGTAAAAGTAATCTAAAAAAGTGACTTAAAGAGTTGTGAGTTCAATACTTGGCTACAGCAGAGGTAAACAAAAACTTTAGAGAGTTGAGTTACTGAAGGGAAATAACTGGAACTGAGATACCCAGAAAAGCCATGGCATGTGGGACTAGAACAATCTACCCCCATAGACAAAACAAAGGTTTCATTTTGAAATTCCGATGGATATAACTTGAAGAATACCAGAGCATACAATGGCTGCAACGTTGTGAATATGACAATAAAAATGAGAACAACAGTCTAAATAGTGTAAATTATTTATATATATTAGGGTTTGTTTTTTTTTCACCTCTATACAACTGTCATACCAACTCCAAACTGTATTATTATTATTATATTTTATAATAAATATATTATATAAATAATGTGTTTGTAAATATTATTATATTTATAAACACATGATGTTCTTTATCATATGAATTATCTTAACAAGCTCTGATGTTCCGAGGTCTCTTTTCGTCTCATGTCATCTTCATCATCCTTGAACCTCTTCACTGCAAACAATGATTAGAACTAAGGTTGCAACAAAAGTTTGTAGCATTTTTAAGTGGATTTCAAAGATTTCAATTGAGCACTGTTGAGTGATAAGCTAATTCTATAAACAACAGCCACTTGCAATGATGCAAACTATTCAGTAAAATGAATAGAGCACTCCAGCTGATTGGCATTTGTTTACATTAGTAAAAACAATACGCTAGATTTAGCTGTTTCACTCTACCAAATGAAGATTGCTCTGTGGTAGAAACTCTGAAACATATCGGTTGGGTTTCAATCCTGGCTTCAGAAATTCGGATATCTAGTCACACTGAGGAGCTGTGATACAGCAAAACATTACTGTCTACAAATGACATATATATATATATATATATATATATTGTCATACACATTGTTTTGCTGTATGACAGCTTATCAGTGTGGCTAGACATCTGGTTGCCTCAAGCTAGGATCGAAACCTGGCTGAATTGGCATCAGTTAGAGAATCTACCCCTAGGCCGTTGGTGCATAGCAGAGATGAAGGTGAATTTAAGTATATTTATTTTTAGATAAACATGCCAGTGACTGAAAGAACTTGATTCATTTTATTGAAAAGTATTGCATTAGTAGCAGTGATCGTGACTGTTTACAAACCCACACTTTCTCCCTAGAGAGCTCAACCAAAATAATTTTTCAGGAGCATATATATTGTCATCCACAGACAGACTGTTTTGCTGTAGCACAGCTCATCAGTGTGGCTAGATGTCCAGTTGCCTCCAGCTAGGATTGAAACCCGGATATATATATATATATATATATATATATATATATATATATATATATCATTTCACTCCCAAACAAAGCAATAAAGCCACTAAGATACAAGGGTTTACTGAGTGTGAGAGAATATGAGAAAAAGAGGACATTATTAAGGAGAGAGAACAATAAAGAATAGGAATTACGAAGACAGAAGATAATGATTGACATTGCATTTAAATATTTGAAGAGAAAAGTTGGCTAGAAAACAAGAAGTCAGAAGAGAGTTCCACAAGTGAGAAATGTGATAGAATAAACTGTTAGCATAGAACTTATAGTTACATCTAGCTAATTCAACTGTAAAATGATGAGACCTTCCTGCCAATCGAGTAGTAAACTTAAATTCATGAAGTCTAGATATCTTAGAGGAAAGTTCATCAGAACAATTACTATGAAAATATTTATTGAAAAGGTACAGGGAAGCTACATTAAGGTGGTGGGGAAGTGACTGAAACAGAGATGCCATGTCAGGACCAATAACATTGCAGGTTCTTCTTTGTATTTTATCTGTAATCTCTAAATATATAACAGGTGCACAGATGAGATGTGACAGCAATATTTAATGCATGAAAAAATGGTATAAATATGCAAGATAGATTCTAGAGAGAAAAACTGTATAACACAACACAGGAAACCAGTTTTCATAGCAGCAGACCTAGCTATCCATTCAATATAATCATTCCACATCATGTCATGGGAAAAACGTTATTCTGAGATGCTGATGGGGAAGTAAAACAGGTTCTCTCAGATGATTAAAAGAGAGCAGTTTTGTTTTGGAGGCATTAAAATTAACAAGCCATTCCTTGCACAAGTTAACAACATAAGGTAGATAATTTTTGATATCAGTTGCCAATTTGAGCTTACTGAACTGCTCAGATAAAATATGCATAATATATAATTGAAAATAGTCATTAACCAATACAAAAAGCCATTAGCCTAGACAAATAGTCATTAATGTAAGCAAATATACATTAACCAAGATATTAACTGTTGAAGCTTGAATAAGCATGGAATAATAATAATACAACACAAAATGTACGTAACAAAATGTATTGAAACAATGAAAAAAGGTACACAATATTTACAGGTAGTTTTGGTATATTCTTGGAAGACTGTTCCTGCAGAATGGGTTGACTAAAGTAGCATGATCGGGCAGAGTCTCTGGATTCGATCTCTTAATCTTCCGTTGATTCTTCGGTACCAACCCATATTTATATGGTCGGTACTCCACTTATGTAAATTAGGTGTATCATACACAACATTAACCTATACAAATAATCATTAACCAAGACAATTACTCATTAATTTAGACAAATAGTCATTAGCCAAGACAATCATCATTAACCAAGACAATCATCATTAACCAAGACAAATGTCATTAATGTAAACAGACAAAGTCATTAACAGACAAATAGTCATTAACAAAGTCAAATAGTAATTAATCAAGACAAATAGTCATTAAGCTAAACAAATAGTCATTAACCAAGATAAATAATCATTAACCAAGACAAATAGTCATTAACTTAACTAAGACAAGAAATCATTAATTTAGAAAAATAGTCATTAACCAAGATAGTCATTAACGTAAACAAATATTCTTTAACCAAGATGAATTGTCATTAAGCTAGACAAACCATCATTAAACAAGACAAATAGTCATTAAATTGATGTAGAAAATAGTCATAACCAAGATAAATAATCATTAATCAAGTTAAATAATCATTACACAAAGAAAAATAGTCATTAGCATAGACAATTAGTCATTAATGTAAACAAATATTCATTAACCAAGAAGAATTTTTATTAAGCTCAACAAATATTCATTAACCAAGTCACATTGTCATTAACATAGAAAGTCATTAACCAAAAAATCATTAATCAAGACAAATAGTCATTAACATAGAAAAATAGTCATTAACCTAGACAAATAGTCATTATTCAAGGCAAATGATCATTGACATAAGCAAATAGTTGTTAACCTATGCAAATAGTTATTAACAAAGTCAAATATTCAAATAGTCATTAATCAAGACAAATAGTCCTTAACTAATACAAATAATTAATAACCAAGATAAATAATCATTAACCAAAACAAATAGCCATTAAACAAGACAAATAGTCATTAACAAAGACAAATATTCATTAACCAACCAATTAAACAAGACAAATAGTCATTAACCAAGTAAAATTGTCATTAACCTAGACAAAAAGTCATTAACAAAGACTTGATTAACCATGGCAAATAGTCAGTAACCAAGAAAAACAGTCATGATCCAAAACAAATATGCATTAACGTAGACAAATAGATATTACCAAGACATATAGTCATTAACCAAAAACATAGTTATTAACCAAGACAAATAATCATGAACAACAATATTCATTAGACAAATAATCAATAATCAAGACAAATAGTCATTAACCAAGGCAAATCATCATTAAGCTTGACAAATAATCCTAAACATATCACATTAACCTAGACAAGTAGTCATTAACCTAGACAAATAGTCATTAACCAAAACAAATTGTTTTAATGCAAGATAGAATGTTATTGTATACAATTTTACACTTGTCATTATCACATTTCAAAATAAAAGAAAATATTTTTAGGACTTTTCCAAATTATAGTAAGCAGGTAATTAATCTTCCAAAAGCAATGAATTCATGTGATAAGCTGATGGTGGCAGCTGACCATCCTGATTTTTGACCAACACTGCCAACATTAAACTGAAGTACTTTGATAACATACAGCTGGTCTTTAGAGTATGATGATTTGTGCTAGGGCAGATGCTAAAATACTGATCTCTTAAGCTATTGAAAGTAAGCTCACTGCTCACTAAGTACTCAAGAAATGTAACCAGATGTCTGATTTGAATAATTCAAGTATATATTTAGGAAAGTTTATGGGATATGATCTTGTTAATGGTTGGATTTTAATGGTTACTACTATAAGTGGATGATCATCAGGATTCCATTTTCAATTTTTGTCCTTTACTGCATCTATCAAAATGGAAAAAAAGTCCTGTTGTATTTGAAGATGAAAAAGAAACAAATCCTTCTTCGGTTTTAATTGTACTATTAAGTTGTATAAATAAAGCACCCCTCACATATATATATATATATATATATATATATATATATATATATATATATATATATATATATATATATACACACACACATATATATATATATATATATATATATATATATATATAATATATGATGATGTTGAATGTAGAATAAAAAAGTTTTTTTCCTTTTATTCTACATTCAACATCATCACTTGATAAGACACCAGAAGTGTTGAAACAAAATGGCTATTTTTGTAGTGATTTTATAACATATTTATGTTATAATTTTCGAATAAATAATTATATTTGCTTTACTCTGTATTGAGCATTCTTTTAAGAATAGTATTTGTTGGTTATTAGAATTTATTCCGTATACTTGGGTATGTATATATATATATATATATACACACACAGACACACAGGGTGCGATGGATAAATTGTCATCCAAATTATGCAAAAATGAAAATAACACTGACATCTAATTTTAACAGATATATTTACCAAAATTACAAAAAAATATCTTGAAATACTAAAGAGTAAATTTATTCAATAAAATCGCCATTGGCTTCAACCACAGCCTCCAGATGACTTCAGAATCTCCTGAAACTCTTCTGGACTGCCTCCTTATTTAAGTTGGTGAATGCTGCCATCATCTTTGCCTTCAGTTCATCTTTACTGTTAAAAGGAGTTTTGTTGGTCTCTGAGTCAACTATGCCCCACACATAATAATCAAGGTGGCCAGATGTAAAGGTTAATGTGGTTGTAGAAATTGTCTAACAGCCATGAGTGGTTTCTCTTGCTTGTGTGGCATGGTGCAGAGTCCTGTTGCCAGACATAGGGTCTTCCAGTAGCCACCCTTTTGTCCCAAAGCAGCACTACCTTCTCAAGGGACTTCATGTAGACCTCTGTGTTGAGTTTGAGGCCCTGTGGGAAGATGAATGGAGGTTTAACATCGCCATCACCAGTGATCACACCAAACACCTTTGTAATCACCATTAGACTCATCTAACTCTTCCCAAATCCTCTGCACTGTCCTCAGATTGACACAAAACACTCTGAAATGTTCATATTGGAGGTTCTGGGATGAAGCAGTAGAGCATGTTGTTTCCAAACTTCTGGTAGAGTGAATTGCATCATGGTGCACTTTGCCTCATAGATGGTGCCCAACTGACCCTACTATACTGTGCAGTTTAAAATATATATTTGGTATTTAAAATTAATGAGATTAGTATATACATGCATTAAAAAATTTATTTTACAGTTGTGAATATTATTTTTTTATATTAAGTATAAAGGGAGATTACAGGTTTGGACTGTTCTAGTTCCACGTGCCATGTCTAATGGATGTCAGTTATCACTTATCTCCTGTTAATTCCCCTCTCCAAGTACTCTACTGCCTTAACCAGGTATTGAACTCACACTCTTTGGGTCCTGTCACTGGGTCTAACTAATGACTTTATCCACTGTGCCATGTGTCCTTGTGGACGTCTGTGTATAAATTTCTGGGTATTATAAACCTAATGTTTTCAGCAACCATTTTTTACCAGTGCTCATATTGCAATTTTTGTTGTTATTATCGCTTTACTCTGGCACTCCTTATTACTGGTTCCCATATTGTATTCATTTCTACCCCAGTGAGCAAAATAAAGGATTCAGTTCGACATTCCAACCACCTGAAGAAGGCCAGAGTGTACAACAGCTGAAACGCTGATAAATATGGCAACAAAGATGAGGATAATAGTCAGAATAATGTAAATAGAGAACAAGACCTGTTTGTCATTCCTCTCTTCATGTGCACAAGGACATTCATCCTTGAATTGTAAAATTCCAACCTTATCTCTCTATTATTTACACTATTTGCATGTGGATTATTGTTATTATCACAACATTTTGTCCATTCTGCTTTCGGGCCTACATCAGTTGTATATCAATCTGGGTAACCTACATTGTGTACTTGGACTCAGTGGAAACGTGGTGAGTAATAACTGAGCAGTACTAAAAATAAGAACAAGACTTGATATCTCTAGACATGGGTTGTGAAATGGGGATAATCTACCCATGTAAATTAAATAAAGATTTAATTTCAGAATTCCCTGTAGGTTACCCAGATTGATATATACACCTGATAATTACCAAAGGGTATAATGGCTGTAATGTTGTGATAACAACAACAAAATTGAGAACAATGGTTTGCATGTAAATAGAATAAATAATCAAATTATATAATTTGATATAAAGTCCATCTGAAGTTATGCAAATCAAATAAACTCCAGTAACTTAAGTTTGCTTTAAACAATTTTTGTCAAATTTTAAACAATTTAGACATCAAAATAAAGCTTGAGTTAAATTTTTAGCTAGTTTTATTAAAGTTATTGAATTTATTATAAAAACTGCACCTCAGTTATTTTATTCATTTCATTTATTTTATTAATATTTAATGTAAAATACTAAATGAAAATATATTTAGCAAAATAATACCTACCAGTGACAAAATATTGGCTTAATATTGCTAGATTTTAATTTTAATTTTGTGGCATGTGATATAATCACTGTGGTTTGTGCTAGTGTTTGGTTGGCCTATAGTCATCACTTTACAGTGGGCCAGATTTGTTATCCTCAGGCCAATACTCCATCTTGATTCCTTACTGAATATCAGAAGTCAACTCTCCACTATGTAGGAGGTTTTCTTGTAATAAGTGGCCCAACCCTTCCTTAGCTGTGAGGAGATTGTTCAGCATTTGCTGCCATATAGGAGGAATGACATGATGTAACAGTTTAGTTTCAAATAAAATGTTCCTGCTTCTTAATACTTTGCTTAACTTTTGGAAGTCATCTTTCGCTAATCAAATATACCTTAGGGCTTTAACCTCAAATTACCCTCTACTTTAATGTCCACCCACAATCAAAGACATGAAACAAATATGAAGTCGCCCCCTGGTTAGAACTGTCAGATTTGCTGAAATTAAATTTAAATGATTTCTAATATTTTTAGCATCTATATTTATCCTAAGCAGTAATATTCTTTTATTTTAATTTATATATGTATATGCAAATTAGTAATGTTGAATTTAAATTTGAACAGGATATCCTATATTTCTGGCTGGTAAATTTGACCAAGCTGTATTCTGTTTCAACCATTTTGTGAAAGAAAAAGAAAAAAAAAAGATAAATAGAAGAGAGCAAAGAATTAAGTTGTAAATTCTGTAGTAAAATTAAAAGAAAAAATGGGGAAGTGAGGGAAATGTGGAGTGGGAAAATAAAAAAAAAAGGAAATAAATAGAAAGGAAAAATAAAAAAGTAAGGAAAAGGATGGAATTGGAAAGAAGAAAGAGTGAGAAAATGAAGGGGTAAGAAAGAAAGAAAGAAAGAAAGAAAGAAAGAAAGAAAGAAAAATAAAGAAAAGGAAAAATATTGAAGAAAAAAGAAAAAGAAGTGAATAAAGGAGAAAATATAGAAAATAGGGAGGAAGGAAATAAGGGAGTGAGGAGAAAAAGGAAGGAAAGAAGGATGGAAGGAAAAGGATAGAAGGAAAAGAAAGATAGAAGGAAAAGAATGTGAGAAGGAAGGAAGGAAGGAAGGAAGGAAGGAAGGAAGGAAGGAAGGAAGGGAAAAAAGAAAGAAAGAAAGAAGGATGAGGAAAGGAAGGAAGGGAAAAGAGAAGGAAGGAAGAAAACAAAAGTGAAAAATAAAATGAAGAAGAATATTAAAAGAGTGATAAAAGAAGAAAGTAAGAAAAAGAAGGAAATAAAAATTTATGAAAAATAAATGAATAAAAAGACTGAAAATAAAAATGAGAATAAAAAAAAAAAAAAAAAAAAATAGAAACAGAAGAAGAACAATAAAGGAAAAAAAAGAAAAAAAAAAAGAAACAGAGAAGGAAAAAAAAAATAGAAAGAGAAGACAGAAAGAAAGAAGGAAAGAAAAAGAAAGAAAAGAAAGAAAGAGAAAGAAAGAAACAGAAGGAAAGAAAGAAACAGAGAAGAAAAAGAAAGAAAGAAAAAGAAAGAAAGAAACAGAGAAGGAAAGAAAAATAGAAGAAAGAAAGAAAAGAAAGGAAAGAAAGAAACAGAAAAAGAAAGAAAGAAAAGAAAAGGAAAAAGAAAGAAAAAACAGAGAAGGAAAGAAAGAAACAGAGAAGGAAAAAAAGAAAAAGGAAAGAAACAGAGAAGGAAAGCAAAGAAAAGAAGGGAAAGAAAGAAAGAAACAGAGAAGGAAAGAAAGAAAGAAACAAGAAGGAAAGAGAAACTGAAGGAAAGAAAGAAAAGAGAAGGAAAGAAAGAAACAGAGAAGGAAAAGAAAGAAGAAGAAGGAAAGAAAGAAAGAAACAGAGAAGGAAAGAAAGAAAGAAGAAGGAAAGAAAGAAACAGAGAAGGAAAAAAAGAAAGAAAAGAAAAGGAAAGAAAGAAAGAAACAGAAAAGAAAGAAAAGAAACAGAGAAGAAAAGAAAGAGAAAGGAAGGAAAGAAAAAGAAAAAGAAAGAAACAGAAGGGAAAGAAAGAAACAGAGAAGGAAAGAAAGAAAGAAACAGAGAAGGAAAGGAAAGAAACAGAGAAGGAAAGAAAGAAGGAAAAGAAGGAAAGAAAGAATGGAGAAGGAAAGAAAGAAACAGAGAAGGAAAAGAAAGAAAAAGAAAAGAAAGAAAGAAAAGGAGAAGGAAAGAAAAACAGAGAAGGAAAGAAAGAAAAGAAAGAAAGAAAGAAAAGAAGAAAAGAAACAGAGAAAAGAAAGAAAGGAGAAGGAAAGAAAGAAAAGAGAAGGAAAGAAAGAAACAGAAGGAAAGAAACAAACAGAAAAGGAAAGAAAAGAAAGAAATGAGAAGGAAAAAAAGAGAAGGAAAGAAAGAAACAGAGAAAGAAAGAGGAAGGAAAGAAAGAAAAGAGAAGGAAAGAAAGAAAGAAACAGAGAAGAAAAAGAAAGAAAAAAAGAAGGAAAGAAAGAAACAGAAGGAAAGAAAGAAAGAAACAGAAAAGGAAAGTTTAAAGAAAGAAGAAGAAGAAAAGAAATAAAAGAAACAGAGAAGGAAAGGAAAAAAGAAAGAAAAAAGAAAAAGAAGGAAAGAAAGAAAAACAGAAGGAAAGAAAGAAACAGAGAAGGAAAGAAAGAAACTGAAGGAAAGAAAGAAACAGAAAAAGAAAGAAAGAAAGAAAGAAACAGAGAAGGAAAGAAAGAAACTGAAGGAAAGAAAGAAACTGAAGGAAAGAAAGAAACAGAGAAGGAAAGAAAGAAACCAAAAGAAAGAAAGAAAGAAACAGAGAAGGAAAGAAAGAAAGAAACAGAGAAGGAAAGAAAGAAACAGAAGGAAAGAAGGAAAGGAAAGAAAGAAACAGAAGGAAAGAAAGAAAGAAAGAAACAGAAAAGGAAAGAAAGAAAGAAACAGAGAAGGAAAGAAAGAAACAGAGAAGGAAAGAAAGAAAACTGAAGGAAAAAAGAAACAGAGAAGGAAAGAAAGAAACAGAAGGAAAGAAAAAAGAAAGAAAAGGAAGGAAAGAAAGAAACAGAAAAGGAAAGAAAGAAACAGAGAAGGAAAGAAAGAAACAGAAGGAAAGAAAGAAACAGAAGGAAAGAAAGAAACAGAAAAGGAAAGAAAGAAACAGAGAAAAAGAAAGAAAAGAAACAGAGAGAAAAAGAAAGAAAAAAGAAGGAAAGAAAGAAACAGAGAAGGAAAAAAAGAAAGAAACAGAAAAGGAAAGAAAGAAACAGAAAAAGAAAGAAAAGAAAGAGAAGGAAAAAAGAAAGAGAAGGAAAGAAAGAAACAGAGAAGGAAAGAAAGAAACAGAGAAGGAAAGAAAGAAAGAAACAGAAAGAAAGAAAGAAACAGAGAAGGAAAGAAAGAAACAGAAGGAAAGAAAGAAACAGAGAAGGAAAGAAAGAAACAGAAGGAAAGAAAGAAAGAAACAGAAAAGGAAAGAAAGAAAGAAACAGAGAAGGAAAGAAAGAAAGAAACAGAGAAGGAAAGAAAGAAACTGAAGGAAAGAAAGAAACAGAGAAGGAAAGAAAGAAACAGAAGGAAAGAAAGAAAGAAAAGAGAAGGAAAGAAAGAACCTGAAGGAAAGAAAGAAAAAGAGAAAAAGAAAAAAGAAGGAAAGAAAAAAAGAAACAGAAAAGGAAAAAAGAAAGAAACAGAGAAGGAAAGAAAGAAAGAAACAGAGAAAAGAAAGAAAAGAAGGAAAGAAAACTGAAAAGGAAAGAAAGAAAAGAGAAGGGAAAGAAAGAAAGAAAGAAAGGAAAGAAGGTCAGTGAACAGAAGGGAAGAAAGAAACAGAAGGAAAGAAAGAAACAGAGAAGGAAAGAAAGAAACTGAAGGAAAGAAAGAAAAAAAAGGAAAGAAAGAAAGAAACAGAGAAGGAAAGAAAGAAAGAAAAGAAAGGAAAAAGAAAACTGAAGGAAAAGAAAGAAACAAGAAGGAAAGAAAGAAACAGAAGGAAAGAAAGAAACAGAAAAGGAAAATGAAAGAAAGAAAAGGAAAGAGAAAGAAAGAAAACTGAAGGAAAGAAAGAAACAGAGAAGGAAAGAAAGAAAGAAACAGAAAAGGAAAGAAAGAAAGAAACAGAGAAGGAAAGAAAGAAAGAAACAGAGAAGGAAAGAAAGAAACTGAAGGAAAGAAAGAAACAGAGAAGGAAAGAAAGAAACAGAAGGAAAGAAAGAAAGAAACAGAAAAGGAAAGAAAGAAAGAAACAGAAAAGGAAAGAAAGAAAGAAACAGAGAAGGAAAGAAAGAAACAGAAGGAAAGAAAGAAACAGAGAAGGAAAGAAAGAAAGAAACAGAAAAGGAAAGAAAGAAACAGAGAAGGAAAGAAAGAAACAGAAGGAAAGAAAGAAACAGAAGGAAAGAAAGAAACAGAGAAGGAAAGAAAGAAACAGAAGGAAAGAAAGAAACAGAAGGAAAGAAAGAAACAGAGAAGGAAAGAAAGAAACAGAGAAGGAAAGAAAGAAACAGAAGGAAAGAAAGAAAGAAACAGAAAAGGAAAGAAAGAAAGAAACAGAGAAGGAAAGAAAGAAACTGAAGGAAAGAAACAGAGAAGGAAAGAAAGAAACAGAAGGAAAGAAAGAAAGAAACAGAGAAGGAAAGAAAGAAAGAAACAAGAAGAGAAAAAAGGAAAGAAAGAAAGAAAGAAACAGAAGGAAGGAAAGAAAAGAAAAGGAAATAAAAGAAAGGAAAAGGAAAGAAAGAAACAGAGAAGGAAAGAAAGAAAGAAACAGAGAAGGAAAGAAAGAAACAGAAGGAAAGAAAGAAACAGAGAAGGAAAGAAAGAAACTGAAGGAAAGAAAGAAAGAAACAGAGAAGGAAAGAAAGAAACAGAGAAGGAAAGAAAGAAACAGAGAAGGAAAGAAAGAAAGAAACAGAAGATTAAAAGTAAATAAAGAAAATTATAAAAAGTAAGAAGTTGGCACTAGTGAAAGGAAATTCTATGGAAAATTCTACATAGAATTAATATGACTGTTTTTTCTTTTTCTTCTGCTTCTACTTTCTATTTAGAAATAGAAAGAAAAAGAAAAAATGAAGATGAAGAAACAGCAGCAAATTTCAGTAAAGGACAGAGTAATTAGAGAACTGTTTTGAACCATCTGACAATTCACTCATGTTCATAGACTGAGGGAAAGCCACCTGTGTAGAAGGAGATGGTCAGAATGATAAAGCATTCTTGGAGAGTCTGAGAGTTGTTGAGATTAGGATTAAGCATACTCAAAGACAGACAGACAGGCATGCCAGATAGTGAAACCAAAATGGACATGGCGACAGCAGACAGTGATGAAAAACTGACAGAATAGTAAACCAGACAACTGGAAAACATTCAAAGAATTTTTTATTTTATTTTTACTGTAGAACTCTCTTTTCTGGAGGTATATATTTTTCTAAGGGAAAGTGATAAGACCCATAGGATGGGCAAGGTGGCCAGGGGAATTAAAGGTTTAATATATATATATATATATATATATATATATATATATATATATATATATATATATATATATATACACATGCAGCAGTAACAACACTGGTAATAGAAACTGCTAAAAGAGTTATAATTTCCATTGAGGCTTCTGTTAACACTAATGCTCTTGAGAAAGGTATGAATAAACATCCATTTTGTTTGTCCCCATCTCATGTATTTGGCCCCCAACCAAAAAATGTCTCATCCCTGATGGTTAATGGAAAAAGAAAAGTGAGCATTTGCTATGTGGTATCCATCCTCTTATATGGCAGTGAATGCCGGACAATTTCTCTAAGGATGAGAAAAAAACTAGAAGCAGCAGAAATGTGGTTCTACAGAAGGATTGATAATTCCATTGATGGAGCAAGTAAGCAACAAGGAAGTCTTAAAGAAAATGGCAGCAGAAAGAACACATACTCAGATTGAGAAAGGAGGTCTTGGAAAACTTGAAAATATATTGAGGGCAAGAGAGATAGGGAAAGGTAGTCAGCTGACAAGCTTGTGTGAAGGGATGGTGGAATAGAGGGGCAGGGTCATTGCAAAGGAAGAAAACTGCTAAGAGCCACAAGAGATAAAAAGTTGTGGACAGCCATGATTGTGTATATCCTGAAGGGATGCAACACATACAAGAAGGAATGTTATTTAGTCCCTTTAAAAAAAATAATAGCTATCAATTTTTTTTCTTGGATAATAATTGGTATATGTATAAAATGGTGTATTTATTTAACTATAAAGATATATTAAAAAAAAGGAAAAAAATGAATTGTTTTCAACAAATTCATAAAAACAAACTGTATCACTTGCAAAACTGAAGAATCTTTTACTGAAGTATTTTCTTGAAGGTTCATCAATGTGTGAACATAGTGTGTGTGTGTGTGTGTGTGTGTATGGGGGGAATGTTTCTTTCAGTTACTTGAGAAATCAATCTCCTCATTGTGTCTCCATTGTGTGGAATAGAGGGCAGGGTCTTTTGCAAAGGGAGAAAACTGCTAAGAGCCATATAAGATAGGGAGTTGTGGACAGCCATGATTGCATATATCCTGAAGGGATGAAGCACATAGAAGAAGGAATGTGTTATAGACAAGTGTATAGTTGCTAGAAAAAAATACGACAACAGCAGAAATAGATTTACGTGATTTATTTCAACAGGAACATGTGGGTTTGGGACAGCTTCCTTGTGGTATAGTTCATAGGCCGGCTGAAGATCTGGGTTGATCTCTCATAGTAGTTCTCACTGGTTGGCATGGCGCTCCTCCTGCTGGCTGCTGCTGACCGCTCGGCCTGACCGTGACAGGTCTCTTCCCTGGCCACCTGTTGACTGCCGTTGTACTTCCTTGTGACCCCTTTTATGGCGTTTTTTTATGGCTTAACAGGCTCGAAAAACAACGCGAGTATAACTAGGAAGGAAGCATTTTTATTAGTCGAAAAATAGAAACACTTTAAATATTATTTTATTTTTCGACCGGAACTTGTGAGTCGGGAATGTTCGTAAATGACGATAATGGTCATTTTGTGATGGGGCCTTGTCCCATTCACATCCGGCTCTCGCTCTTGAGTATGTTAGTTTATTTACCTGTAAATCAGCCGAGATATGTCTTATTTTATTTTATAACAAATGTTATTTAGTTTCTTTAAAAAATAATAAACATTTCATAGATTTTTAAATATATCTACAATTTTGTTAGAAACAAAGTAAAGAATACTGGATTGCTATGTGATATCCATCCTCTTGAATGGAAGTGAATGCTGGACAAGTAAATATATAAGAAAACATTCAAAGAATGTTATTTAGTCTCTTTAAAAACACTTGCGGCAGTAACAACACTGGTAATAGGCTTCTGTTAACACTAATGCTCTTGAGAAAGGTATGAATAAACATCCATTTTGTTTGTCCCCATCTCTGGCTGACTACCTTCCCCTATCTCTCTTACCCTCAATATGTTTTCAAGTTTTCCAAGACCTCCTTTCTCAATCTGAGTATGTATTTTCCAGTTGTCTGGTTTACCATCCTAAGGATAAGGCAAAAACTAGAAACAGCAGAAATGTGATTCTACACAAAGATACTGAAAATTCCATGGATGAAGTGACAACAAGGAAGTCTTAAGGAGAATGGCAACAGAAAGAACACTTATATTCAAAATTAGGAAAAGAGAGCTGAAATTTCTTTGACACATAATGGTGAAGGAGGGATTGGAAAACTTAGCCCTCATGGGGCATATTGAAGACAAGAGAAAAAGGGGAAGGCAACAAGAAATTTGAAGAAGAACATTTAAGGGAACCACTCTCTCATAATTCCCTACAATAATAGTAAGCACTCATTAACATTAAACACTCATGCAGGCGGTACAGAAATTTAATTATCTGGGAAGTGTTTAATTAGGCATCAGAAAATGCAAAAGTGCTAATTTAAAAATCTGGAAGTGAATTGGAATAGAAAATGATGCCTTTGAAACTCTAAAAAATTATTAAAAAACAGGAAAGTTTCATTGAAACAAAGAAAATAGTGCTGAACTGCTATGTAATATATAATCTCCTATATGGCAGTGAATGCTGGACAATATCCTCATGCCTTTCATAAACTAAGCAAAGTATTAAGAGATAGGAAAAAAGTTTTAGAAATAAAGAAAAGAGTACTGAACTGCTATATAAAATCAATCATCCTACATGGCAGTGAATGCTGAACAATTTTCTCACAGATGAAGAGGAAACTTGAGGAAACAGAAATGTTCTTCTATAGAAGGAGGGCTTACAGCCATATAACATTGAAATACTGGTTTATGCATGATCATTGAATTTAAGCAACAATGTGCTGTAAGCTTGAATGTGTGGGTGGTATAATGGATAATGATGAAAAATTGTTAATTATAATTCCAAGTTCCAATTTCTGTTATGTCCAAATACCCTTGGGAAAGGTATGAAGCCACCATCTTCTCCCCCAGCTATAGGTTAATTAGTAAGACTTGTGTCACTAAATCATTATTATCTCCCTAAAAAATCATTATTATTTCAAAAATAAATTCTTACAATTTAAAGAAATATATTTTCTGGCTTTAAATAATACCCAAGGGTTGATAAACTGTAGAAAATGAATCACTCAATTCACTATTGCTGAGAATACCATAGTCAGAGCATGTTAGCAACAAGGAAGTTTAAACAAACGTAGAAACAAAAAGGATGCTTATACTTAGAATCAAAAAGAAGCAGCTAAAATTTCTGGGATATATAATGAGGAAAGAGTGCTTGGAGGATTTGAAACTCACAGGACATATTGAAGGCAAGAAAGACAGAGGAAAACATTGAATAACCAAACTAACGAACTTATGTCAATGGATGTCAGAAGAGGGACTGGGAAGGATTGTAAAAGGACATTGTTTAGAACTATAAATGATAGGAAGTTGTGGAGAGCCATGAACGCCCATATCCTGAAGTGGCACAGTACACAAAAAACATAATTACATATAAACTGGAATATTTTAAATAATCATATTTTGTGTGTATATATATATATATATATATATATATATATATATATATATATTAATCATTTCACCCCAAGCAAGGTGATAATGATACTAGGATGCAGGGGGTTACAGAGAGTGAAAGAAAATAAGAAAACTTTAGTGAGATGAAGTGAGGAAAAGAACAATAAAGGAACAGGATTTTGGAAGATAGAAGATGGCGATTGATATTGCATTTAAATTTTTGAAGATTGGAGGTGGCAGTAAAGCAAGAAATCAGAAGGGAGTTCTACAGGTGAGAAGTGCAAGAAAAGAAACTCTTGGAGCAGAACAGTTGGTTGTATCTAGCTAATTCAACAGTAAAATGGTGAGACCTAATTGCCAATCTAGTAGTATACTTAAAATACTTAGTAGCACAAAGGAGGAAAGTTCATCACAACAATTGGCATGAACATTTGTGTAGAAAAGAAAGAGGGAAGCTATGGCAGATGTGGCAACAGTATTCAATGCAGAGATTAATAGATTTATAAATGTGTAAGATAGATTCTGATAAGAAAAACTGTCTGGCACAACACAGTGAACCAACTTTCCTAGCAGTAGACCTTGCAATAGATTCAATATAATCATTCAGCTCAGAAAGCAATAGTTGAAATTTCTAGGGCATATAATGAGGGAAGAGGGCTTGGAAAATTTGATGCTCCCAGATCATATTGAAGTCAAGAGGGACAGAGAAAAACACTGCATAACCTACCTAGCAAGCTTGAGTAAATAGATGATGGAAAAATGTTTAGGAGAGAACAAAAAGATAAAATTTATTAAGAGCTACAAAGGACAGGAAATTGTGGAAGTTAATGATTGCTCATGTCCTGAATGGACATGGCACATAGAAGAAGGAGGTTGAGTTTGTATGTAGAGGAGAATATATGAATTGGTGTATCCAGTTTGTCATCAGTGTGTTGTATGAGATGGTGATGGATTTCATAGGGTAGGCAGTATTGTGTTGGAGTTTGCAAGGACCACGAGTTAAACTCAAGTACATTTTTGACAAGTCTCTCTCTCTCTCACACACACACACACATACACTTTTTTGGCAGATGATGATGGTTTATTTCATGCATGAGTAACATTAAACTGATTACAGGTACTTCATTGTTGCTCAAGATTGCCAAATTTAAACCCTATTGAACACATGTGGGACATGTTACAAACCTCATTAAAGTTGCTGCAGCCACGCCCAATAAACACAAATCTTTTATCCACAATCCAGGAATGTGCTTGGATAGATATAACAATCTTATAACCCCAGCATCACAAAGTCACCAATCTAGGGACATAAATAAAAAAACTCTATCTATGCTCTATTACATAACTATTATTAAATTTAGATAAATAGAGAAATATATATATTTTTTTTTTTTATTTTTTTTTAAATCTCACTTCTGTATTTTTGTTGACCCATTAGCAGTAAAAATGCTGGACATGTAAATAAATGATTTTCATCATTCACAGTTGAGAATACCAACAAAAAGCTTTTACAGAAAATGGAAGTGTTGTCCTACTGGAGGTAGGGCATATAATAAGAGGGCTTGGAAAATTTGATACTCCCGATCATGCTGATGGCAGCCAAAAGAGATTTTCTGTATATATTATGAGACTATTGTAATAAAATCTTAAATGCTATTATATTCTGTCTTCACGAATATGATTTTTATCTTTGATTAAAAATTTGAACTCTAAAATTATTTTCCAGCACTCCTAGCTGTGACATGAATTTTCATCATTCACAGTTCCAGCTCCTACTGGAGGTTCCTGCAGCCAAAAAGAGATTTTCCAGACTATTGTAATAAAATCTTAAATGCTATTATATTCTACACGAATATGTTTTATCTTTGATTGAAAATTTGAACTCTAATTAGTTCCAGCACTCCTACCGCTTCCAGCTCACTCCTGCAGCTTCCAGCACTCCTGCAGTCTCCAGCTCACCCCAACAGCTTCCAGCGGCCTCCAGCTCACCCCTGCAGCGCTCTACTGACGTCCTGCTACCTATTCCAGCACCTGCTGATGATCTAATCCAGTGCCCACTGACGTCCAGTGCCCGTTAACGTCCGGACACCGTTCCCGAACAAATGACCTCTGTCGTCTTACCATCCACCGTTCGCAAATAAAGACACGATTTCCATCGTCTACAACGGACCATCTGCGTTTGTCATCCTTCTTTGCTATTGCCATCTCCTTGCCTTGTGTCCTCTATTTTAGTTGTACGGTCAATTGGCACTCACACCTCTCGGCCCGCTGCAACAATAGCTCATTTTAGGGAATGCATATTATTAGGAATTGACAATTTTAGTAGAGGTTTCAATCGTTCCGGATCTGGTGACATAGAACTTTTGCTCACGGTGTACCCCAGTAAAATAATGGTGTCTACGCTAAAAAAGCATTTATCATTATTTAATGTGAGATTATATATTTCAATGGCCGCCATAAATTGTTTACAGTCAGATTGTTTACATTCAGATTACGATTGTAATCTGCATGGTTGTGTCTGCATACAGTTTTACATTATCAATGTAGGCAAAAGTTCCTTACAATTTTTCATCGCTAATAATTTTGTCCACAATCCGCTGGAAGCTGGCAACACCATTCGTTACTCCCAATGGTATCCTTTTAAACTGATAGAGGCCACCATTTGTCTCAAAAGCTGTATAGACCCGATCTACTAGTTTGATAGCCACTTGATGATAGGTGCTTTTGTACACTTTGTATTTGGCAATTTCACTTATAACTTCGTCTATCCATGGTAGTGTCTAAGCGTCCAATAGGGTGAACATATTTATTGGTTGAGAGTAATCAATTACTAGTAAAGCGGACCTAAAAAATGATTGATCAGAAAATACATTTTTTTTCCACCACTCATTTTCCTCGCCGCGAGCATTTATCTCAAGTAGGTGTGAATTTTAGCTTACAACAGCTGTTGTAAACATATAAATAGCGAAGAAATTTTCAGTTCAGTTCAAGAGAAATCTGCCAGCTACTGGACTTCATTTCAGCAGTTGGAAGGAAAGCAGTCACTTCTCACTTTTTTCCACTCCTTCAACGACCGTGGCCAAAGAATGAATTCACTGATTCATGACATCACATGGTAACCAGGTCAAGGACTGGGAACATCCCATATTAACGACACCAGTTAAGTACTGTTTCACTGACACTTTTCTTTCTACTTACTATCTCACAAATGTAATTAAAGAAAAGACATTTTGAACTCTTCCTGTGTGCACAACTGTGAAAACTACTTTTACCTATATACTCAAACACTAATACCATACACAACTAAATCACACACAGTCAATACATACTGTCATTTTTGAATAAATGTTATTTTGGATTTGGTTAAACAGAATTTTGTCTTTATTTCTAATTGTTGCTTGTAAATGATAAATTTTGTATGTTTGAGGCTTCAATGCTGACCAGGTGTTGCAAGCCCTCAACACTTGTCTCTTTTTGTGGTTCTCAGATGATGTTACTAATACCTGGGCCTTCCATTTTGATGATTCCTTCATCAAGCATTCTCATAATCTCAGTTTTTATAAAATGTTTGTCCTCAGGTGAGTACTGTCTTGATTTCATTGCTATAGGCTTGCAGTCTGGAGATAAATTATTGAAGTGCGACGGATACTGTACATTGACTGCTGTTAGGACACAAGTGCTAAGGGCTGGTTTGGGACCTCCAAAAGAAATGTTGATACAAGAATGATGGTGAAGAAAATTATGCCCTAGTATCACATCACTACAGAGGTTCTTCATTATAAAAAGTTTGATGTTTCTATACAAAATATTTTTTTTAATTTTTTTTAATTTTTTTTATTTTTTAATTTTTTTTCTTCATTATAAAAAGTTTAATGTTTCTATACAAAATATTTTTTTAATTTTTTAATTTTTTTTCTTCCTTATAAAATGTTTGATGTTTCTATACAAATTATTTTTTTTAAATTTTTTTTAATTTTTTAATTTTTTTTGTTCATTATAAAAAGTTTGATGTTTCTATACAAAATATTTTTTTAAATGTATACCAACTAGACATTATCCAATCACCTGTGATGAGAGAGAAGCATTTGCCATAGATACACGAGTAGAATAGGGAAAAATTTTCCATTGATTAGCCATCACAATATTGAAATTAATATAATTATTGGAGCTGCAATCAATGCATCAATAAAAACATCATTAACTTTAATCCATATTATACTTTTTGAAAGCAATCAAGATGCAGCTGTTATAATAGCTACCATAAAAGAGGCAGTAGAAATTTAAAAAAAAATATTTTTAGAAGATGTGGACTATAAATAGTCACTACACTACATTCAAAAAATGTCTCAACTTCCCACATTTCTGACACCTAGCATCTCTGGCCAGACAAGAAAACTGCGAGTGTAGACCAAACCCACAATAGTGGCATTTATGACCTGTGAAAGCAGCAGATAGGCAGCTCTGAAGGGTTTGAAGTGTCCAGAATTTCCTGGTTAGAGAAAGAAGTCACAGAGGAGGGACCTGGAGAATTATACACATAAGAAGAATGGGGAGAACAAGAAGAGTGTGTGTTCAGAGCAGCACCGACCATATCAGACTGTAGGTAGAACACAGACTGTTTTTCAGCAACCTCAAACATATAAGCCTGCTTGTAGGCTGTTCTTAAATCAATACATTTGTTTTCAAGTAGTCTCTGTCTTACCTGAGTATTCTGAAACCCATTGATAAAGGTGTCCATAATGTGCTCGTTTCAAAGTTGCAGAACTTTCTTAGGGTCCATAATTCTTTGAAAAATTGCTCCAGTGATTCACCATTTTGTTGTCATCACGTAGAAAGTAAATATCATGAAAATATTTCACTTTTGGGTTTTCAGTAGGTAGCTTGTAGTAATCCAACAGCCTCTTCATAAACAGGACAGTCCATAATAATTTCATATATCTGTGAGGTACATAATTTGTTAGGAGTACAAGCTTGTTTATTGACGGGTTTCGGTTTTCTGCATATAATGTTTGTAAAATGTATTCAAATGTCACTTGCCAATGATTGCAGCATTTTTCAGAATTTGGAGTATCTGGTTCCACATCAAATCACTGTAGGTTCATTAGTTGTTTCATACTGATTCTGAGCAGAATAAATTCTAATAACAAAAGAGAGTAAGAGCAGGCTTAAAAAAGCTTTATTCTGCTTAGAATAATTGATATCAGCATAGTGGCTATTTATAGTCCGAGATTTAACTTGACCTCCAAGTGAGCCAGGTTGTGAAACAAGGTCAGTTTTTAATGTGGGGGACCTGAGTGTTTCTGTTCAGGTTGCTGGTCTAAGCTGGTCTTAGATTAAGCTGGTCAAAGCTTGTCTTCGCTGGGCAGAGCTTGTTTAAGCTAGTCATAGCGAGTCATACAACTGCTACATAACAGATGATTATTTATAGTCCTCAAACAAAAGAGGAAGGTAATCATAAAGCAAGGGAGATTACTCCCAATTACTTTATCACAATTATTATTTTATTGATTTGCATATAATGTTGGAACACACTGTATTTAATATTTTATCAGACTTATAAGTTTAAATTGAATGTAATTAGCATAGGCAACACTAAATGAAAACAGAATTTTTCTTCTATTTTTATGTATTCTTTTTACTAATTCACTTTTGATTAATAAAGATATTTAAAAGTAAATTTGACCTTGAATTAAAATGAAAAATACTGTTTCAATGACAAACAAAGCCCAACTGCATGAAAATAAGCAAATATAAATAAATAAATGGAAAAATATTGATCCTTTAACTGATTATGTTTATCCTGATTAAAAGCTGTCTTGCAAGAATGGCCAAGAAGTTGCAGCAAAACACTGAATAAAACTTGGGTTAGCTGCTTTTGGAAAATATAAGGTATGCTTAAATCAACATGAGTACCAAACAACATTAAAATAAAGATATGTCTTATATACATACTTCCAGTTATTTTGTATGGCTTAATTTTTAATAACACAGCCTTATCAATAAAGTGTCCTGGGTATGACAATAAGCTACATCCAGCAGCAAGACCTTTGATTGGGTGATTGAAGGTTTTGAGGAGCCTGGAACCACCTCTAAATTGTTGTTGTTCCCAGGTCCACTCTGATCCAGGGTGGTAGCACTTGTAAGGGTACCAGTTATGGGTGTCATAGACAAGCGTATGGTTGCAAGAAAGAAATACGACAACAGCAGAAATAGATTTACATGATTTATTTCAATAGGAACATATGGTTTTGGGACAGCTACCTTGTGGTATAGTTCATAGGCTGGCTGAAGATCTGAGTTGATCTATCATAGTAGTTCTCACTGGTTGGCGTGGCGCTACTGCTGTTGTCTGCTGCTGACCGCTCAACCTGACCGTGACAGGTCTCTTCCCTGGCCTCCTGTTGACTGCTGTTGTACTTCCGTGTGACCCCTTTTATGGCGTTTTTTTTATGGCTTAACAGGCTCGAAAAATGATGCGAGTATAATTAGGAGGGACGCATTTTTATTGGTCGAAAAATAGAAACACTTTAAAATATTATTTTATTTTTCGACTGGAACTCGCACGTCAGGAACATGCTTAAACGAAGATAATAGTCATTTTGTGACAGGGCTTTGTCCTGTTCACATCCAGCTCTCGCTCTTGAGTATGTTAGTTTATTTGCCTGTGAATCAGCTGAGATATGTCTTATTTTATTTTATAACATGGGCAAATAGTGAACCCATCCCCCCCAAAAAAAACTAGGGTCAAAACATGAAAATATAAAAATACATTAGAAAAATTACCAGCAAAACACTTTTGGGATAAAAATTACCTAGGCTCACAAGCAAATAAAAGTTTTGGAATTAAATGACCCATAAGGAGGTGCTATATCATTGAACAAACCAAACAAACCAACTTATCAATGAAACTTGGTGGAATAAACTATTCGTAGGTCATTGATGGTTGCATGGGCACAAATTCATGAGTCATCATGACTGAAAGTTTGAGTGTACTAGTTTTGTTGAAGTACTAATCATGCTAGATTATGTGCTCTCTCCTAAAAATCATATATCACTATTTCTATGAAAAGGATTCAGACAAAGTACATTACTTAGTTCCACCAGTTCTAACCTTGATGACTAAAACCTGCCATACCACTAACATTGCAATGAACCACCATCATTCCCTTCATCTTCCAAGTTCTATTCAAGCCGCTTCTTCCCAC